TATTTTCTATTTGTCGTCTGGACTATTTGAGGATGTGCATCAGCCAGAACAAGTTATTTGCAGGATTTCTCCAAACAACCAAAGTGAGGAAAACTGCTGCTGATAATGGGGAATTTACTTGTCCTTTTGGACACACAACGCAATTATCTGGCTTCAGAAAACATGCAGCACAGGATGATTGATCACTGTGTTTCACTGTGGCAGGAAAGAGCTTTCTTGAAGTTTAAAATCACAAAAATTATAGTGATGAACAGCTATTTTTTCTTGTGTTGCTATTTATTTCTATTTGCCATATATGTTATTGGAAGTAATTACTGACTGTGTCTGTGTGATATTTTACCCTAAAGTGATTTAGTCTAATCAGACAGGTGTTGTAAAGATGGAGGTAGTTGGCAAACTGTAGCTTAATTACTTCCAGTGTTTAATTTAATAATCCGTTTTGAATCATTAAAGTCCCACTGCTGCTGATTTATGGCATCTGTCGGGGTAGTTCAACTACTTGAATTTTAGCCTGTTTTGTTCCGAATGGCAGAGTCACAACAGGAAGACTTGTATCAATTTTTAATACTGAAAGGCATGCAATGTATTCACATTTCATGTAAAAATCTGATGCAATGAATTAAATACGATATAGTTGTGGTCCTTTTAAATACTTTATACCATTTATATTCCAAAAAGAAATGATTACATCATGCAACATAAATTTATTGTGGAATTTCTCTCATGCATTCTCAAATATTCACTAATATTTGGTTAAATTCTTCTTATCAATTTGCACTTTGACCACACACATTTTGGGACCATAAGCAAGCTTCTGACTCAACTCTGGCTTTATATTTGGCCACAATTTTGGCTGAATGGACAAAGTTCACATGTAGTCCACAATATCTTAATAAGGATGATGTCAAGGCTTTGGAAAGGTCATTCTAAAAGCCAAATTTTAGTCTGTTTTGTCCAATCAGAAGCCAGTTCTGATGTATTTTTTAGGAACATTTTCCTGTTGGATTGCTCAACCACACACACACACACACACTCACACACACACACACAC